GAGGAGTCTGACCCTGAGTCAGTTGTTTTGAGAAGATGGACAACTGGCAACTTTGGGAAACGAGCTGTGATGGATTTAAAAAAAAGATTTCGTAGATTTTTTTTCATGTTTATTTCTCGTTTTGTGTCTCACGATCTTCTAACTAAAAACGTCTTATCTTCTTTTTCATCTGATTAATAAAGTATGAACAAATCCCGATTAAAGCTATTGTTTTACCTGGTTTTATGATGGTTGGTGGTCTTTAGAGGAAAGTGAAAGCAGGTCTTTGTGTTGTCTCTTAACCCGCCTCTTTGTCCCGTCTCTGAAAGGTAAAGAGCCCACAGACAGGTGGTCCTCTGGAGGAATGGAGCTGCCCAGCAGCTGGTGGTATAAAGGCCCCCTTTCCCAGGAGGCTAAGAGGGTCCTGGCTGCTCTGCGAGCCCAGAACCGGTACCAGAACCTGAACCAGAACCTGGACCAGAACCGGTCGGCCAGGAGTCCCAGGGAAAGTCAGTCAGTCAGAAATACATCAGAAAACTTTATCGTATTTATGTTTATGTTTATGCATTTGGCAGACGCTTTTATCCAAAGCGACTTACAGAGTAGACCCAATATTACATTTATCATCACTATGACATAGGGATAGGACGGTTTCTGTTTGATCTCGGTTCGGTTCGCGTGTGTTGCGTTCGGTTCATGCTGCTCCTTTTTCTCAGAGGGAAGCGTTTACACTCCAGAGCAGAAGGGGGCGCTACTGCGCCCAAAGCCAACCACCAGTAGGAAACAAGAAGAAGAAGAAGCAGCGTAGCCGATAAAACAGCAGTTTATATTCTGCTGTATGGGACCACTTTGCATTTAGAGGGAAGCACATGTTGGAATTAGCACTGTTTCCTCTCTGGCAATGCCAGAATCTCACCTACTTTTAACCTGAGACTGTCACAATAATGTAGGCCTATCAAATGTCAGACTGCTTTTTTCTTTCAGTTTTAACCTGACTATACAAGACATAATAGATTTTCCTAACAATCAACGTATACCGAACCGAACGGAAAACCGTGACCACGAAACCACGAAACCATGAATCGAACCGAACCGTGGATTTTGTGAACCGTCCCACCCCTATTATGACAATAAGCTATACAGAGGAGAAACACTGATCAGAGTCAGTGGTGAAATAGAGATAGAGGTAGAGGGACTACAGAAGGAGCTGTGGGGGGGTAGAGGTACGGGTTAGGGTTAGGATAGGAGCTGTGGGGGGTAGAGGTACGGGTTAGGGTTAGG